GAGATGGGGGGGCTTGCTCTGGGGGCTTAGCACCTGCAGTATGCATAGGCATCCAGGTCAGGAGGTTATCAGGTCAGCTCCCTGTCCTAATGCTGATCTAGGAAGGGACTCTCCCCATTGCTTCACATTGGCAGGAAGTCCTTTCACTATCTAGCCACCATTGCTCCTGCTACAAACTCAGGTTGTTCCTGGTGCCAGTGGAGCTCATTCCAAATCAAGTTCTTGTCAAACAAGTTTGAGGGGCCTGAGGGAGACTGGAGTCTCTTCTAACCCAGAAATGACCCTTGATGTCCTGCCATCCCCTACCTCTACTATCCAGTACCCAAACCCATCCACCGTCCCCCAGTCCCCCATCAAAATACAGATAGAAAGATTGAGGCCCAGAGAGGCATTAGCAGACTAATGAGCCCAAGAAAGGATTGGGGGAGATTTAAAGAAGGTACCCTATCATGCCTCAGCTGCTGCAGAGAAGGCCCTGCCCTGTTCCCCTTGCTTCAGGCCTAGAATTACCTGAGCTCGGGGGGTCCAAGGAGCCATAGAAGAATTCCCATTTGGCTCGAGCAATCCTCTGGGCATGAGAGGAGACGTCCCGGGGGGTGGACCAGTTGTCCGCCTAAGCCAAGGAGGGAAAGATAGACACAGGTACCCAGAGATAAAGCCAGACATACAAAGACACAACAACATCAGACAGAGACACAGAAAGAAAAAAACCCAGGGATGGAGCTGGATGAGAAAGAGACAGACTGAAGGATTCTGAGTAAACATCCAACAAGCCCAAGATCACCAAAAGACTGCTAAGCCTTGCCCATCTGTTGGGGCTCTAAGGTTCCAGGGAAACCAAGGAAGGTTGCATACCTGGTTCAGGAGTCCAATGTCAGCAGGTCCTGGGAATAGTGCAGCCCGGTGCTCAGAGGGCCCCCCCAGGCCATTTGGGAGAGAGGAGTAAAGACCATCTGCCCCAACCTGGGGTTGAGCTGGTGGCCCATGTGAAATGCCCTGGCTGCCAGGCAGAGCTGAGCCTCCTCCAGCTGGGAGTGGGTCTGATGTGGATGCCTCCAGCCGCAACTTCCGGCTGGAGCCAGGCCCAAGGGATGGGGTGGGCCTGGGAGGAGAGACCCCACCCAGGTCCCAGCTCCGACTTAAGCCTCCTGGAGCAGGTAGCCCATTCAGTGGCCTCACGCTGGCCTTCTCCACAAAGCGGAATATGACCACAGAGCTTTGGGCCCCTGGTGGGGGCTGCCCAGTGGGTGAAGAGGGTGCCCAGGGTGAGGGAGCAATACGGGATGAGGGGGTGCCACGCAGGGGTGTACAGGGTGCTGTCACACGTCCCAGTTCCCGGCCTCGGGGACCTGGCCCTGCTACCCGCCATAGCAGGGAGCCTGTGCTGCCATACATGCTGGCTGGGGGGCTCTGGGGCACTGGGCCTTCGGGGAGCCAGCGGCGAGGGCATCGTGGCGGGGAGATGGCACAGTCACCTTCTGAGCAGAAGCGCATGGCACCCTGGGCCATGCTGGGGCCGGGGGTCAGGCTGGAGGGGCAGGGATGGCGAGGCCAGATAGGGAGAGAGGGGGCAGCATGCTCTTCAGACAGGCCTGCAATAGAGGAAAGGGAGCAAGGGGTGAACTGCTGGGGAGTTGGATGGGCAGGAGAGCAGAGACAGGGAGGGGAAAGCTGGCTGGGGCCACTGAGTACTAGGGGCCTAGCCCACCCTGGGAATATGGCATTATTGACCCCACCCTTGGGAGTGATCAGGCCTCCTGCTTGGGCTACTTCCATGGAAGCTGAGGAGAAAAGAACTGTACATCCAGTGGGCCTCTGGCTCCTCGCCTTCTGCCTGGGGACCCTAAGCATCACCCTGGGAGGAGAGAAGAAGCTAGGTGTTTCAGAAGTTGAGTGAACTCAGAGTTCCTCAAGTAGCATTTTCGAGCTACTTCTAGTAGGGGAGGAGGAAAGGCTGTTACCCAACCCTCTGGACCAGGAATATCAGACAGCCATGACCATCAGGCAGCCATGAGTTCTACACAGTCCCTCTTATGGAGGCACCTCATTCAGGGAAACAGAATTCAGACCTTCTGGAAGGAAAGAGAGGAAAATTGGGGTGGGAGGGGTTCTGTAGGGACCATGTGGGGCTGAGAAGCATAGTGAAGGGAAGGTGAAAGGCTGAAAGGGGTCCCTACCCCTAATTCATACATGCTGAATGTTGAAAGAGACATTTTGTTCTCCATACAGGTACACACTCATGCACACACACACATATAAGGACAAATAATGTTAGGACAAAGTTAAACATGTTCATAGACAACACCTTCCAGCACATACAGGCACAGACGTACACACATTGCTCAAAGACACACCCTCATACACTCTCACAGTCATAACAAATAAGAGTGTAATGGAAAGGCACATGCTTGTCTTACACACACAGTCATCAAACAGGAACACACAAAGAGATACCCAATATGCACATGGGCTGGCATTCTCTAGTGCACAGAGAGACAGGCATATTAGACAGAGACTTACTGGTCACAATCACAGATACAAATGCACACTTACACACATACTTACTTAATCAGGGACACACACACTCATCCCCAAACCCCAGGAGCCATCAGTCTCTGGGGGAAGGCTGTACCATACTCCTCTCCAACCCTCAGGGGTATGACAGATCTTGTTCAACCCAGGAGGGCCCGTGAAGGGGTAGAGGGCCCGCAGTTGGCACTGCAGGGTAGGGGCAGAGGTCAGGAACAGCAACCCTGCCAGGCAGGTTCCTGAAGCTGCACGTTCCCAGTGCAGCTCACACTCCAGCCGACTCAGTACTCACCGCTGCTCGCCTGGAGCTGGGGCCGAAGAAAGGCAGGGGAGAGGCTGGGCCCAGCTCAGCTGTGAAGGCAGCACGCTCCAGCTTGCTCCCGCTTGCTCCTGGCCCGCCCGCCTCTCAGTCCCTCCCCCTTACACCCTCCGCGCAGCTAAAACAGAGCTAATCCCCCTCACTCCCCGCGCCCCGCCCTTTTCCGGGCCCTTGAGCCCCGAGGCTGCCTCCTCGTCTTGACGCTAGGTCCCCCGCTAGGCTCGCCCGCCAACCTGAGACCCGCCACGGACGAGGGGGAGGACCTATGGAACCCCGCGTTCTCTTCCCCAGACCCTCACGTGCCCCACCCCAATTGTGTCCACATCCTTCTCGTCCAACGCCCCCTGAGCCACACGCAGGACCCAGCTGCACACGCGTGTCCAGCTCTAGGCTCCAAGCGTGTCCCTAGGAGGTTGCCACATGACCTGTTACATGCCTCACGGCTCCCGCCCCCACGAGCACGCGGCCGCGCCAAGCACACAATATGGGTGCAGACCGGACCCGCCCCCTAAATCCTGGAAACCATTAATTAATGGAAGACAGATACAGGCAACACCGCCTCAAACCCCCCGGGGTTCTGAGTCTCGCACCCAGGAGACCCAATTCTGACTACTCGCCTAGGATGCAGCAGGAGACAAGTTAGACTTCGGAAAAGAACTTCCTTGCTGCCTGAGTTAGGTGTCCTACCCGTATTGGGGTAAGAGAAGGGATTACGCCGGGAGTGGAGTAAATGGGAGACACACAACCCTTGTGCCCTTGGCCACAGTGTAAAGGGGCCCAGTTATTTTAAGAAAGCGTCGCTAGAGTTACTATGGCAACTGCTCTCCTTGGTAATGCCTGGGCAGGCAGGTGGTGACCTGGGAAGGAAGAAGGGGTCTGTTCGGGCAGTCTAGGGGCGCAAGGACATGCGAGGCGGGGGTGCGCGGGGCTCACCGCGGGGAGGGGCTCTGCGTGGTGCTGAAGGGGACAGCGCCAGATTTGTCGCACTGCGCAGGCGCAGAGGCGTGAACAAAGCGGGGAGAGGGAGGTGGCACCGTGGCCCGAGGTGGTGCGCGCCCACGTTGTTCTATCTTAGCAGAGGTCGATCCTCCCAGCTACGCTCTCCCCAAGCAGGCTGAAGAAGAGGGAGAAAACCTTTAACTCAAGTTGACCCTTTTTGGTCCTTCCTGGCTGCTGCCTTCTTCCTTATCGCGGCGTCGCAGGTTGGGATAGTGTGGGAGGGATTCTGGGAAAAACAGGATGCCTGAGTTCTCTAGCTCGACTCGCTTGACCACGGACAAGGAGCTTCCTCTCCAGGGCTTCGGTTTTATTTTTAAAGTGAAGTGACAGCACAGACCTGTACACCTTGCAGAAATGCCCGGAGCCCTGATGAGATAATAGATGGGAGGCAGTTTTCATTATGAAGAGGCAGGTGAAGCGGTTGCATAAAGGAAAAGGTCTCAGTAACATCAGTAGCCCTCGGCGTCCTTCACACCCTCTCCAGCGATGGATGATGGAGAAAGCACTGCTCCAGGGGTTCCCCAGAGCGGACCCTGGAACTAGGACCTGGCGACACGGTGAGAGGGCAATCTAGAGTCTGAGCCCAGAGCTCTCTAGGGCGTCACTGTCCCAGGGCCAACCCAGACCCAGACCCGACAACTAAACCCTCATGCCAACCAAGAAGCAGTACTCCTGGCAGGCTGAGCTGAGCACTCATTCTTCTCAGGATTCTAGACCTCCTGGGGAAAGGAAAGGGACCCCGTTGGCGATAGCGTCCTTTTTAGCACCCCCTACGTCTCTTTACGCAAGGTATAAACCCGCTCCAAATCCGGTGGAAAGGCTGGGTAACTCTGTACTTCGTAATTAATCAGGAATGGGAGGTTTGGGGCAAGTTTGATGAAGAAAAATTCTAGCTTAGCCCATTCAATTAATTGAACAATTATTGGGCACCTACTATGTGCCAGACAGAGCCTGTATAGTGTCTCCTCATTTTTCCAAGTCGCTAAACGCTACCAGAGGGCAGAGGGTAGGTCCAGAGCCTTAGTCCTGGCTCCGCCTCCTTCTGCGTTTGGCTTGGTCTGCTCCTCCCATCACCACTTTTCGCCACCGGCCCAAGGCGGAAAGAGAAACCAGTCTTGCTGCACCATCACGTTCTTTAGCCTCAGGTCTCAAGCCCTATAGTCGAGAAGCTAAGGTCTAATGTTATACCACCGCTTTGTTTCGCCCTCAGTTTCGGGATTCATCCTGAAGGCTTTCCGACAGGCTCCTTAGTAAGACGGCACTCGATTGAATCGGTCTGTCTCTACGTCCAAGTAGGCGGGTTCACCGCAGGGTACAAAGCCAAAGAGAAAAGACCTTAGTGCGCACGCGCAGTAGGCAGCCGAGGGAGCCACCGATGGAGCAGTCCGGAGGGGAGCAAGAGCCCGGAGCCGTCAGGTACCGAGCACTGAGGGGCGCCGACAGAGGGAAGAAGGACCTGGGGGAGGGAATCTGTACAGGGGTCGGGCGTCGGATTCGCTCTTCGGAGCCTGGGCGCAGAAGCATATATGAGGCGGATTCTAAGGTAACAGCGGCCCGGAAGCTACCTCCAACGCCTCTTTACCCGCAGGCTTCTGGACCTTCCCTGGGAAGACGTGCTACTCCCTTACGTCCTGAGCCGGGTACCGCTGCGCCAGCTACTTCGGCTGCAGCGAGTCAGCCGGGCCTTCCGGGCACTAGTGCAGCTGCACCTTGCGGGGTTGCGCCGCTTTGACGCTGCTCAGGTGAGCCGGGGGCCTGAGTCCTGTCCGCGTCAGGGTACCGCCCCCGCCCCGCCTCCAGCCTAGCCCCCAACCCTGCTGTCTGCACTTCGGGACCCCTTTGGGCCTCCAGAAATTCCTGGGAAGCGATCCCTTACCAGCAAGTACCCTAAGGACGAGTACCGGGTATTAACTCAGGGCGCATGGGGTCCCTCCTGGGAGGGCAGGTGGCCAGCCCCAAGGGTGGGCTGCTGCTAGGAAAGAACGCCGGGGCGTACAGGCAGCGCCCGCCCCGCCCTGGGACCAGCTGAGAGTCGAGGTGCTTCCCCACCCGCAGGTGGGTCCGCATATCCCGCGGGCCGCATTGGCCTGGCTGCTGCGGGACGCCGAGGGGTTACAGGAGCTGGCGCTGGCGCCGTGTCACGAATGGCTGTCGGACGAGGATCTGGTGCCGGTGCTGGCGCGGAATCCGCAGCTGCGGAGTGTGGCGCTGGCCGGCTGCGGACAACTGAGCCGCCGCGCGCTGGGGGCGCTGGCCGAAGGCTGCCCCCGCCTGCAGCGCCTGTCTCTTGCGCACTGTGACTGGGTAGACGGTCTGGCACTGCGCGGCCTCGCCGACCGCTGTCCAGCCCTTGAGGAGCTGGACCTCACCGCCTGCCGTCAGCTCAAGGATGAGGCCATAGTGTACCTGGCGCAGAGGCGCGGCGCGGGCCTCCGCAGCCTCTCGCTGGCGGTCAATGCCAATGTGGGGGACGCCGCCGTCCAGGAATTGGCTCGAAACTGCCCGGAACTCCAGCACCTCGACTTAACCGGCTGCCTCCGCGTGGGAAGCGACGGCGTCAGGTGCCTGGGCCTCGGGTCGGTGGGATGGGAAAAGGGCAATCATTTAGCCTCTGGGAGTAGGGGTGGGCAGTAGCTGTCCAAAGACAGAACTATAGTTTCTGGATCTTCCTGCTAATATTGCACCCCCATTCTGAACTGGCAGGTCTCGGACTGCCTAGGCCAAAGAGCCCACAGTTTAAAAACATTTTTGAACTAGTATTCACACATTGGGAGATTTCACATACAAAGTTAGATTTCTGGCTTTTTTTCAACAAGGGGAAAACCTTGCAATCCTGGGCGGAGCTGAAGAGCAGGTTCCAACCCCTAAGAGGCAGGAAGTCTCCGATTCCTTGGAGGCACTGAGTGTGTGACCCCAATCCAGCCCCCCTCCCTCGTGTACGGAGGAAAAAAGTATGCGTGGAGCTGGTGGGAGACGGGCTTTGATGGCTCCCTGACCGTGGGTGTATCTGCTTCGTGCCCCTAGTCTCACCCCGCTCCTCCCCCAGGACATTGGCTGAGTACTGCCCTGTGCTACGCTCGCTGCGGGTGCGGCACTGCCACCATGTGGCCGAGCACAGCCTGAGCCGCTTGCGGAAGCGCGGCGTGGATATCGACGTGGAGCCACCGCTGCATCAGGCCCTGGTACTGCTGCAGGACATGGCGGGCTTTGCACCCTTTGTCAACCTGCAGGTCTGACTTGCCCGCTGATGGGGCACAGCTGGACTGTGTTGCGGGGCCTATGAACTGTAGGGAAATTGGGCTGTGGGGTGCCTCTGGTGAGAGACCAATGCCCTGCCCCACTCTGGAGCTTCAAATAAAGAGCTTTTTACCCCTTCTTGCCTGGCACTGCTGCCCTCTTGGAGTCAAGGAATGTGAAGTTAAGAGAGAAGGTTAGACAGACACAGTACCCCAGCACCCCAACTCTGAGGCAGAAATGACAAGAATGCACTCACACATTCCTGGGGCCACCTTTACTGTGCCCATGGGCAGCTCCAAGAAGAGGTGAACACTGTGGGGCACGGAAGTAGAGAGGGGGACAGGACTTAGGGTGGGCCCTGTGTGGGGGTGCAGGGCTCCTGCATCCCTCTGGGATCTGAGCATAGAAGGCTCAGGCAGAGTCCGGCGAATGCCTCAATGGAAGCGGTACTTTCTGGCTGGCTTGAGGTTGATGTATGTGGCCTTCATCTCCTCTGCCTCAGGGTTCCGCACATCTTTGAAACGCTCCCCTTTGGTACTTACTACCTGGTTGTCGATGTATCGGATCAGCTTTTTGGGGGCCTGTCAGGCAATCAAGCAGTGAGTAGCAGGAGCCAGGAGCCAGTCCCCCCACTCCACACCCCTAGCAGTCCCAATCCTCTCACCTCCCTGGGAGCCATGGGCCGGTGAATCTTCTCATCCTCTGCACTATCCACCATCATGTACCTGCCAAAAACTGGCTTGGTGAAGCTCCTACCCCACTGCAGAAAGCCTCTAAGGGCCTAGCCCAGCCCAGCCCAGACTCACTTCTGCAGGATGAAGGACTTCAGCTCATCCTTTTGGGGGCCTCTGAGATGCCTGGGCAGGTCCTGCAGAGAGAGCAAGAGCTTAACTCTAAGATAGAATGAGGCTGAAGCTACATGGGTCAGATGGAATTGAGCAGAGGATACCTGGTTGGGGCCATCCCAGGCTGGCGTCCCCTCCTCCTTCCCCTCTACCAGCATCTGCACAGCTTCTTCCAAGTCCCCCCGAGCTTTGGCCAGCACCCACTGAGCCTGCTCCACGGAGCAGGTAGGGAACACCTCCAGGAGGACATCCACCCCGGGCAGCAGCTCCTCCTCAGCACTGGCTGCCTGTGGGCATAAATGTTGACAAGAGGCAGTACTTCCTCCTTTCCTACCCCCTAGCTCCCTCACAGGTACCCTCCCCTATGAGTACCTCATCTTGGGTATCAGCAGCAGGAGAAGCCCTAGTCTCTTCTTTGAGCTTTTCAGACCATTGCAGGGGCTCTGGGGACATGGGCCCCTGACCTTGGACCTCAGAGCTCTGCAGTTGCAGGTTCTCTTAAAGAGTCAGAAATTATCAGGTTTGCCAGGGCCTTGAGGGATGGGGGTTATGAGTCACCCAAGTGCCTGAACCCCAGACTCACCTTTGTTCCTGGCACCACTCAACTGTTCTGAGAGCTTCTGCATCATGTCCCCTATTGTACCCCTGAGAAGACAAGGTGGTAAGAGGACAACTCTGCTCACCCTCCACGATCAGCTAGCCCCTCTCCTCTTCCCCAGCCAGGCCCCACCTTGGGATGTGCGCGAAGCCAGGCACATAGGCGCCCATCATCTCAGTGAAGGCCTCCATATCAAAGTTCTCCTCGGACGGGCCTGAGGGGCCCAGGTCCTCCAGGACCCCAAGCACATAGGAGAAGATGACCTCATCCAAGCCACTGTAGGAAGGGGAGAAGACAAGCTCTGGCTAGGACATTAGATACCTCCAGCACTCCCACCGAGCCTGGGACTCACCCTTGGCTTCATGGAGTCTGTGAGCCAGACCTCAAGCCTGAGGCCAAAGAATATTCCACCCTCCCTCAGAGCTTTGGTTTCCCTTCTGTCCACAAGGGATAGGATAAGAAATAAGGCCATATCAGTAAATCATAATCAGCCCTCCCCCACCTCAGGAATAGAGGTGAATACTTCCCACCCCAGACTCTTCATTGGCTGGGGCCCAGAGGGCTGCCCAGCAACTCCAACCCTGACTCCAGCATGATCCTTCCAGGACAGCTGCTTCTACCTGAGGTCCGCCTCTGGGAGGTGCATCTGGACAAAGGCAAGGAGGGCTGCACTGACAATCCTCTCCAGCTCCATTCTCTCTCCTCTTCTGAAGGGACACAAGATGTAGGCTTGTCAGGCCCTCTTATGCCTGCCCCTGCCCAGGGGTGGTCAGCTCCTCCCTCCTGCCTGCTGTGGAAACCATTTGTCGATGGTGCCCATAGCTTCCAGCACTCCAGTGCTCCCCCACTCCCTCAAGCAGCACCACGGCCCCTCCCTGTCCATCTCTCCACCTCCTCCAGCCTGAGACAGGGCAGGGCACTGTGGAGGGGAGGGAGGTTGCCCCAGCTCCACGCCTGCCCTGGCTCCATCCCCAGCAGCAGGCCCAGACCCTTTGGCAAGAAGCCAAGGTCTTGGGGTCACATGCCTCCTGGCTGAGGAATCCCATCATTGAGAAGGCCACTTGGCCCCCAAGTCCAACCACAAGGGGCTCATTGTCCAGTCCCCCCAAGGAGCAGACCTCAGGGCAGGGCATAGCCCTCCTCCTCCTCCAGCCCAGAATGGGCCACCCACCCTCTGCACAAAGAGGCTTTTCTGGCTACGGGGCCCAGATTGAAGGGGAAGTCTTTCATGAAGTCTTCCTGCCCAATCCTTGCTCTTCTAGCAGCTTGGGCTGAAAAGGACTTTCCATCTTCCTTTCCAGAGCCTATGGAGCCCTATAAGATCTGCCTTTGCCTGCCTCTCCAACCTCACCATCCCTCCGCATCTGTCCACTCCTGCCCCACCCGCCTCCTTCCCCACCTTCTTCCTATCTCCCCCAGATATTCACACGACTCATCCCCTCACTCCTCCAAGGCTCTGCTCACATGCTGCCTCCTCAGAAGGCTTTCCCTGACCAGCCTATCAAAAACAGGTATTCCTACTCCCTAATCCCTTGCCCTGCTTTATTTTCTATATAGCAGTTACTGCAGCTTGATGTTATTTCATGTTTATTTGCCTGTTGTCTGTCTTCTCTCATAGAATTAAGCTCCAAGAAAAGGGAGATTGAGGCTAGGGGGCAGGTGGGGAGGTGGGTAGTGACAACTTTCTCCTATTCATTGGTGTAATCGTAGTACCTAGAAGAATGCCTGCACTTTGTAGGTGCTCAATAAATATTTACGGACTTACTTCATTCCCACTTACATGATTTTTTACTCAAAAGTCTGTATTTGGGAGTCAGGAACACAGAGTGGCAATGAATGGCTCCAGACCCATAGCTACAAATGTCAGCTCATCATCCCACTCAGAAGACAGAGGCACCTCAAATTCCACCTACCTACATTTATGATATTCTGATCTGTATACATCCCCCCTCTAAACAAGCACCTCTTCCTGTTTCATTGGCGGACACAGCCACTCTCTCACTCAACTGACAAACCTGAAACTTGGGGCCATTACCCTTGATTTCACCCTCTCTCAACACCATCTGCTGCCTCTAATCAATCACTGAGTCATGTCGATTCAATTTCCTTATTCCTTTTCCATTCTAACCACTTCTCCCTAACTCTAGTCTGGCTTCTGCTCCAACATCTCTACCAAAATTTATGAGGCTAAGGTCACAAGTTACTTTTAAAGGTTTTGGTCTAATTAGATTGAACCATACAATGGTTCAATGTTCAAAGCTTGCCAATGTTACCTGTTTTCGATCTAAAAAATAAAAAGGCAACTTCTTACGGGTTCACCTAATATCTCTAATAATCTGCTCTTTCTAGCAACATCAGTGTGGGTTTCTGAGGCATCACACTCTCCTGTTTCTCTTTTACCTCTCTGGCCATTTCTTCCCAGGCTCCCTTCTCTGCCCCTTCTTTCCACCCTCTAAAGGTGGTAGCAAACTCAGGTTCAAAGCTGCTTCTCTCTCCTCATTCCACACCCTTTCTCTCTGGAAGATCTCACTTGGGTCCACATCTTTATGTATCAACTCCGTATCACCATCCCCCAAATGTCCAATCCTCCAGTCCCATCTCCTCCTCTGAGCAACACACTTGAACATTTAACTCTCTGACACCTCCATGTGAATGACTTAACATGTCCCCAGCTGACATTTCTCCCAAGTCTTTTACTCCTAAATGCACATCCATGCATCCAGCTCTTCCTGCGCCAAGTCTGGGGATTATCCTCGACACCATCCTATCCCTTGCCTTCCCACATCCAGTCAGTCACCAAGCCCTGACCTCTCAACACATCTCTTTCCACCTCTTGCATTAACTACAAGAACTTCCTAACCCTTCTCCCCACTACCATCTTTCCTTCAACAATCTATTCTCCACAGAGATCATAGCTGTGTGATCTTTACCAAAAAAATCGTGTTTTTCCTGTTTAAATCTGTAGCAACTTCCCAGATCCCTTCAAATAAGTCCAAATTCTTTTTGTGGCCTTCGGTTCAGGGTCCTACTCCTGCCCGCACCTGTCTAGCCTCACCATGCACCACACCTTCCCTGGATCACTCCCCTGACCCTCTGCAACTGGTTTAGTCCCCTCTACTGCATTCTGTACTTTTCATTACTTACTTAGCAGCACCTTTCATAGCTGTAATTAAATAATTATTTGGGCAATGTTTAATGTTTCTTCCAGTTGTTCATGAGGGCAGGGACTACACACCTGGCTTATTCATCAATGTACAGTTAGTACTTCCAGTGAAGAAGACACTCAACAAATGGTTATTCCCTGCTCATAGATTAAGAAATTGAAGCTCAATGGGTTGAATGACTTTCCTAGTCACCTGGCTTGACTGTGGTAGTCAAGATTTAAATCCAGGTCACTTAGTCCAGTGCATATTCTAGGGGCTTCTCTGGGGATGGGGGTATCAAGACTTCCAAGTGGGCTGAGACAGAGCTACCATCTATGATCAGTTTCCTGCTCCCCTGAGTAGTAAGAGTTGCTGTGACAACACCGGGGTCACTGTGGGCAACAGGACTAAGAAGTGCTAGCCTCTTGCTTGCCTCTTGCTCTAGACCTTAGCATGGACCCTTCTCCCCACTACCTTATTTCCTTCAACCATCTCTTCTCCACAGAGATCATAGCTGTGTGATCTTTACCAAAAAATCATGTTCTTCCTGCTTAAACCAGAACTGCTCAGACCAGACATATCAGATCCCATCATGCAACTCCCCCAAAAGGCCAGTCCCCTATGGAGACCTACATCATTACATCAAATCCTGGCTACTGTCAGTTGCCTGGCAGTCTCTGCTGGGACAAAGGCCCATGTCTGCTGCATGAAAGCTCAGTTTCTAGAGAAGTTCTCAGCAATGTGTCTGATGCTTCTAGGTTTCTCACCAACGTGTGAGAACCAGGGAGTTTTACTGGCAAAATCCACTGTGCCCAAATAAAAAAATCTTCCTCCCCTGAGCTTTTGCTCTAGCTTGTCTCCTAAGGCAACATCGTCCCCTTTCCTGTTCTTGGGCTGCCCAAACTTTACCCATCACTCAAAGTTGGCCATTCTTTCACCCTTCACCCCTTGAGCCTTCCTCAGCATTTTTTTCCTGCTCTTCTCCTAATATTTATCCTCCACACTCTCTGAGGGGAAAGGTGCAACCTGAGGGGCCAGCCTTCTCCATTGTAAGAACATGATTACTTCCTGGAGGCTCCAAATCAGGGCTCACTGGTCAGTGGTGCCCATGAAATGTGACTGTCATCCTGTTGAGTCCTGTTGAAACACCTCTGATGATGGAAATAATAGTTAGCATTCAGTGTCTGCTCAGTGTGCCAGGGATTTTTCTATGCACTTTACATGTATTAACCTATCTAATCCATACAATAATCCTAAAACATAGATACTAATATTATCACATAATCCCATTTTACCCAAAAGAAATGGAAGCACAGAGAGACTAAATAACTTGCCCAAGGTCACAGAGTAAGTTAACAGCGGATTTACACCCAGGCAATCTAATTCCAGAATCCTATTAACTACCGCACTACACCATCCCTCATGATGGAAATGGTGTGGCCCTAGCCTGTATTCTGATCCTTCTCACCTGCTTGGCTGCTCCTCTTGCCTACCTCAGAGTCTCTGCTCACACCATTCTCCCCACTCAGAATGTCTTTCCTTCTGTCTCTCATCCTTCAGGACTCATAGCCAAAACTGACTGCCCATTCTCACTGCCCCCAGCTGGACTAAGAGTGTCCCCAGGGCCAGGCACAGACCCCCTGGACAAATTTAAGTGAGACTGGAGAAGGAGTACCATACTGTGCCTTGGGGGTGGGGAGGTGCTCAAAGTGGAGGGAGACCAGAAGGCCATGTGCAAGGAGTTCTGGGAACCAGTGTGAAAGAACTCCTGGTGGCCACTCAAGAGGGTCTCGCATGGAGGTTGTCACTGCTTCTCCCCGCCCCTGTCAAGACCAGCTCCTGGGGCCCTAGTCCCATAAAGCAGGTTCCGCAGGACATCATTGTCTCCTGACCTCCAAGGCAGGTCTTAGAGGAGCCAAAAGGACACTGAGGGATAGAAGAGATTCCAACAGCCAAAGTCAGGTGGCGGCACAAACGAGGCTGGGAGGGTACACAGTAAGTGGGACCGCGATGACGGCCGAGCTCCCTAAACAAGCTAAAGGGGTACCCGTAAGGGTCCCGAATTGTGAGCCCGTGGGGACGCGGGTGTGGTTGGGGCCCTGGGGGACACAGGGCGAGGGAGGCCTGAGGAAGTTGGTGCCTTGATACAGGCCACGGCGAGAATCAGAGATGGAAGTCTGTCGGGCCCCGGGGAGTACCCTGAGGGAGCACTCAGGACGGGTACCCTGGGTCAGCGCTCTCTGCCCTCTAGCCCTGGGCCGGGGGCTGGAGGGGAAATCACCTGCTCTGTCGGGCGCCGCCGGCGACTTGTCCCGCGCGGTGCAGCTCTCATCCCCTAGCCCCACCAGCGAGATCAAAGGCGAGGCCCAGAGCGGTCCCCTTCCAAAAGCGCCTCGGTAGCCATTTTTGAGAAGGGCAGTTGCCCACAACGGGCGGGGCCTCTGCTCCCATTCTCATTTGTCCCTGGGCTTCGGACGGGCTCCTGCGGCGACCATTTTTGTTGTGGGTAGGAAGGTGTTAGGCCTGGAGATCCAGCCATTGGATGGGGTCGCTGTGGCTAACTGTGCCGGTCGGCTTCCTTCTCATCAGCCAGAGACCGGGAACCGTTCCACCCACCCAATATCTTTCCATCCATCTTATTTTCTCGCCCTCAGATCTCCGCCTCCCAAGGCCTGTAGCTTTCTCCTCCTCTCTCGGCCTCTCCTGTCCTTCCATAACCCGTTGGCTCCCTGGTTGATTCTGGTGGCCCCTACTCCCAGAACTGGTGTTCCCCATATCTCTGTGTCTCTCCCACTTCGTGTCCAATTCAGGTTCAAACCCTGGCACCTACTGAACTCTTAGGTGCAGACTTCCCCACTGTGTGTAAAATTCCAGTATTTCCAGAATCTCTTGCCAGGCTTTAGTGCATTTTCATATCAATTAGGTGTTTCCAAGGTGTGGAGAGAAGTAGTTCATCTCCATATCAATAGGTAATTACATAGGCCAGCGGAGCTCATCTCTACCAGAGAAGTTGGGTGGAGCTCTCTCTTCTTCCGCAGCTGGGTTGAGAGAGATGCAGTTCGACTGTAGAAGATAAATGGGTTTCTCCCACTTTATTTCTCCCTTTGGCTGATGTCGGTTTCAAAGGTATTTTGCCCTGGGATTTCCCACCCCACCCCCCAGAGTTACATCTCGCATAGTCGGCAGGATCTCTGAACCTGAAATCTGTCTACATGGGTACGACCCTTGGGTAGGCTGCCTCTAGACATGGTGGGGAGATTTCCAGAACCCCCACCCCCACCCTGTGGATGGTGGGGAGGCCCCAGTGGCTGCAGCGATAGATGGTGCAGCTTCACTTGGGAGCCCCTCATCTGTGGGGCTTACAATTGGGAAGCCCCTCGTGGGGAATTAGTCTAGGGTAAAGCACCTCCTAGAGGGGTGGGGTCTTCCCCAGACCTGGGGAAGGGAAGAGACACCGGAAGCTGCGGAATTAGCCCTCCGTGAGACTGCTTAGAGGCCCTGAGTGGCCGTGTAGCGGCTGGGATTGTGGGTTCTCTTTTCTTTGAGATAATGTAAGTGTTATCGAGGAGAGAGAGAGTTATCGAGGAGAAAGAGAGACTTCAGTAGGAGAGACACACTTCAGCATCGCTTGGAGGAGCTGGTTGATGACCTATGGGATGCTCTTAAGAAAGAGACAGTTATCATTTATCTATTGTAAGATAAAAAAAAAAAAGTTGGTGGGTGAAAGAAATCATGTTATGATTTTAAAATTTTTGTAATTTTCTTGATGACTGGAATTTTTATTATGTATAACTGACAAATCAAGTTTCCAAGCAAATGTTACATAGAGTAGGCTTTACTTAGCTTTATCGATTTGTCATTTTGAAGCTAATTATTTTAATTAAGTTAACTATGTACAATATTTTAAGCATTACTCTTGTAAGATTTTGAAAACTACATTTTAACATGGAACTCTAGGAATAGTCACCTTTTAAATCCTGTTGAAAAGCCATGTTTAAAGATTTAATTTGCCAAAATAATGTCTTGTTAATATCCTTTCAATAATGAAGTTGGGCAATATAACCAATGTTTAAAAAAAAGTTTAAAATGTATAGGTTGAGGCATTTGGGTGGTAAGAATTATTATCCCTTTTCTTGAATATTGAAGGACCAAAACATAAGGTATATTGCGTCTTAGCAGTGATTTTTTTTATCCAGTCTTGTTTCCAAAATCCATTATGTCTGCCAGGGCCTTAAAAGCCATCATGTAAATTACCAGTAAAGTATAACATATGCAAACATAACAAAATCACTTCCATAATGACTATACTCCAACTATATGGATGTTAGTCATAGTAAACTAGAGGTTTTATGATTTTTTTAAGTCTTTTTTTTTTTTTGTCTAGGTAGTCAGTCTGCACTTAAATATCAACCATTTTCCTTTTTCGCTTCTTCCCTTAAAATTTATATGTATCCAGTACATTTAGTTGAGAAATGTATGTTTTTTTATTCTGTATTTTCTTTTTTTTATTAATTGTTTATATTTTCAATTATTAAAAATGTACAAAATAAAGTTTCATTGCTGGTCTTGTAAGAGCTATACAATTTTCATAAATGTATCCTATAACTGCAGCAGTTCACCTATTTCAAAAATTTGGAATTCTGTTCATTTGTTATTCTTAAGACCACCTCAAATTTAAAGGCTACCTTATTGTATGTTTAAAGTGTATCATAACAGTGTGGTAGTTAATAAAACACTATTTTTTTTTCTTTTGAAAAAAAAAAAAGAAAGTTATCAAGAAGATGGGTCATGCTCCTGGAAGATACCTTAGAAGCAAGTGAGGAGGCAGCCAGAGGATTCGCATTGCAGGAGGCCATGGGGGAGGAGGAGGAAAGAGCCCCCTGGAGATGGTAGAGGAGATATTAAAAGAGGATGAGGGGTGGGGCCAAGGGCTGATCTGTTGCCAAGGCCACCACCCTAGGCACCAGCCTCTCCTGTATTAAAGGCCCACCCAGTTGTAATTAAGAAAGTAAAAGCACAACAACCGGGACTCCTCAGGTGGAGGAGCTGCACCTCCCCAGGCTGTGGAGCACTCTATGCTCTGCCCCTCTACCCAGGATGAGATAGTGGGTATGAGCTCTCGTATAGGCAGAAGCCGTTGGAACCTATGCCTACATGATTTCTGCGTCCCTGGGATATGGGGGTGGAAAACATTGTTATGTTGGGTTCTAAAATGAGTAGACTGGCTTCCCTGACGACTCACCCTTCTCGCCAACAGGGGTTGCAAAGTGCCCATCACACCTCAGGAAATCGAGTGCTTCTGCACTGGCTGACAGCAGCCATCAGGGCAGTTTGGCCTAATCAGGGTGATTTACCATACTTATCCACTAGCTGAGAAATGTATGCAGAGCTCCAGCAGGAACTAGGCATTAAAAATATCATCTATAATATGGACCCCCCAAGGCCCCGATGAGTAGTTGTTCACCACAGGAATGAGAAACCTGGTGCTCCATACAGCTCCCTATCTTTCGGTCCCTTGTGACTATTCTTGCCCCCTACATAGGGCAACCCATAAGTGAGGCTACTTGTACTTTAGCAGATCTGGGGGAGGTTGAAACAATACGGGCATGGAGGGAAGTATGGGCTATGACTGAAAGGAGAGGTGCAAAGGGCCCCGTGAAAGTCTTGTGGACCCAGATGTGGGCTGTTTGATAAAGGCCAGAGTAGTGGGAAAAAAACCTGATGGACAGCCCAGTAAGATCTTATTAGAACTGTGGCACCAATTAAAGCCAGATCAGTAGTTCCAGCCGCTGAGGTTCAGGACACGGAAGCTGGAGGCAAAGCCCCATCTCCGGCCTCTGTCCCTGCAAAACTTCACTGGAGAGAGTACTCAAGCTCTGCCTGAGCCCTCACACCCACAGAATAATTGGGCATCACAGTTTGACTGAGGGTAGTGTCAAGGTCTTCACCTTGGGAGATGTGGTGGGAACCCAAGGCCACATGTAGAATTAGCAGTTTATTGGTCCCATGTGAATGTACAATGTGTCCTCGTACTGGTGGACACAGGAGCTGAGTGTTCTCTGATTTATGGCAACCCTGAGCAATTTTCTGCGACCCCTACTGTGATAAATGGCTATGGGGATAAGGCAATTAGACTGCAAAAGGCCCAAATCCCACTGGGGATAAGGTGTTTACCCTCAAAGGAGCATATTGTGTACATTTCTCCCACCCTGGAATATATTTTGGGGCTAGATATCCTGCAGAGCCTATGGTTACAGACCACAGCAAGTAAATTCAGACTAAGGGTATGTGTGGTAAAGGCAGTTCTGAGGGGATATGCTAAGCACTCATCTGTAGCTCTGCCTGTACCTTGATGAGTGACAAATACTAAGCAGTATAAATTGCCTGGGAGGGCACAAGGAAATTGAAGAAACTCTACAAGAGTTGGAGAGGGTGGGCATAATAAAGCCCACTCATAGTCCTTTTAATCCCCCAGTGTGGCCAGTGAGAAAGCCAGACAGCTCCTGGCGTATGACTGTGGACTACAGGGAATTGAATAAAGTCACACCCCCTTTGCATGCAGCTGTCCCCTCTATAGCAGCCCTTATGGACACCCTCAGTCATGAACTAGGAACATATCATTATGTAGTAGACCTTGCTAATACTTTCTTCTCTATTGACATAGCACAGGAAAGTCAGGAACAGTTTACCTTCACATGGGAAGGTCAGCAGTGGACATTCACTGTCCTTCCACAGGGATATCTCCACAGTCCCACCATCTATCACGGACTTGTAGCCAAGGACTTGGCCACATGGAAAAAACTGCAAACAGTGCAGCTGTATCACTACATTGATGATATTATGCTCATACCTGATTCTCTTTCAGATTTAGAAAGGGCAGTTCCTAGACTGCTGCAACATCTGTAAGAGAAAGGACCAGCTGTGAACAGCACCAAGGTTCAGGGACCTGGTTTGTCTCAAATTCTTGAGGGTTGTCTGGTCAGTTAAAACTAAAGTTATTCCTGAAGCACTCACAGACAAGGTCCAGGCTTTCCTATCCCTACCACTGTGGCAGTTTTACAAGAGTTTTTGGGTCTTTGGACCTACTGGAGAGTGTTTATCCTGCACTTGGCACAAATTCTGAAGCCTTTATACCAGTTGGTATGAAAGGGCATCAGGTAGGACTGGGATGAAATATGTGCAGATGCTTTTACTGCTGCTAAGCAAGCAGCCAAGGCTGTACAGATCTTGAGTGTAATGAACTCATCAAGGCCCTGTGAGCTAAATGTTCATGTAATGGAAGATGTTTATGGATGGGGTCTTTGGCAGTGGCTTGAATGGATACACCAACCTATTGGATTCTGGTCACAACTATGGAAAAGACAGAGGTCTGGTACACCTTAATAGAAAAGCAACTGGCTGCTGTGTACCACACCTTGCTG